TTCTTTCTGGTACGCGATAGTAGTATTACCGGGCTTAGGCTCTCTCTCTCTCTCTCTCTCTCTCTCTCTGCTCCCCCCTCTCTCTACGCCTCTCCCTCCCTCCTCTCCCCATCTCTCTCTCTTTCTCTCACGTTCTCTCAGACTATAGTATGCGATCTACCGATCTCTCTTTTAACAAATTTTGAAATGTAAATTTCAAACCTGGATCATTTTCTTTCAAATCTTAAAGAAACGGATAAATACGTTCACTAATGAATTAGACCATTCTGACCGATGAACGTAGGTGTTAGAAAGTTGAACGACTGGAAGTTAGAGAGCAATTACCACATGAGAAATTTAACTAATTCTTAGTTGAACTACATCTCTCTCTCTCTCTCTCTCTCTCTCTCTCTCTCTCTCTCTCTCTCTAATTTACTTTTGCATCGGACATTGTATTTTCGCATTGAAAAGATACCGAATAATTTAAAGAGCTATGCAACTACTAAATGTTAATGACCATATTTTATAGTCTAAAACAATAGAAGACCGTTTCACTTCTTTTTCTTTTTTTTTTAACCGTTGCATCAACCACGTCTCCGAGGTCATGTTGCGGTACCGCGACCTAATCGCGATCCGTTAATATCGCAAGAGGTAAAGTCTACGACATGAAGTCAGGGCGATATCCAGATCGTCTTATTATGCATATCGGATCAGTTAGAACTGGTATTTGCAATGATTTAGAAGCGGAAATTATCCTACTGGATGCATGAAAACGAATTATTCAAATTTCTATTACTCAAGGAGAAAACGAATAAATGAAGCGGACACGAACGTTGCATGAATATTAAATTAGCATGATCTGCTTTCAGATAGAACTCACTTTGAGCTTTTGAGTGTGACCACATCGGCAACAGCAATACGACATGTAGTCAGGTAGCGCGGGCATAAACTTCAATTGTTCCTGTTGCGAGTATTCGTCTACAAGCTTGCGATAATGCACCCTGAAAATGGGCCTCGTTGTGCTCTGCGAGCCTTTGCCAAGGCGTCCCATAATCGCAAAGAATGCGGTCAGGATATTGCGTCTGCGTGCAAGCCTCCTCATGCCACAGAGACCGTTGTACTTTGCACGTTGTCCTTTTCAAATCGCGCGCCTTTTGGCTATCCTTAACTTTTACGAAAGATATTTTTTTTCCAAACACTGACCGCGCACGAAGAGGCGATCGGGTTTTATCCAGAGTTAATAACAATTCGACATTGTTGTCTTATCCAGGAAGGATTGTACCGTCACAAGGTTCACATCAGTTATTCGCAATTCTAACATCAACATTCCACACATTTCCGGTCACACATTCACGACACTATGAGGCGCACTTTCTAATGCACGAGGCACCGGCACGTCGGCGCGCTAAAATGTTTGCCGCATCCAACACCTTTCTCCGAAGATATCCCTTCGACAATACCGACACCTATCGCGGAATCAAGCGCCTATTGAAATTATGAAGTTCCAATCTATATTTCGTAGCAGCACGTGGATGAGCACCACTCGATTCTTGGACAACTAACACGACTGGAGACGCCAGTATCCATTTGGTAATGGAAATACAGTGGCACCGAAGGTACCTCCATTGCGCAAAGCTGTCGAGAGTCCATCGTTGATGAAACTGGCTTCTTCCCTTGTGGCAGCAGATCTCCCGTGTCTCCCGTGAGAAGATGTGATATTATTAGCAAGTGACGATGTCGTGAGACCCTGTGGGATTCCAATCCTACGTGCGACACACGCACGGAGGATCCGAGAGCCACTCTTGATGGCGTGCGTAGCCCCGGCTACGTGTCGCTCTGCATGCCGACCTGCGGAAACCGGTTAACGAGTACCGCGTCGCTTCTCGCTTCTTACTTGTCGTCTGTCAACCACACACGCAGTTGCTACATCCTTCTACATTTTCCGATGGACTTGCTGCGGGGACGACATCGATCTCTGTTACCGACATCGCGATCGTACCCGACATATTCGCACGAACAACTCCCTCCTAATTGTTTCTACTCCGGAGTCTGGAATCGTGACGCCGAAGGAAAAGCTACGATTGAGCAATCGTTAGAAAGTTTCCAGATGGATTTGCGTCTTTTCCTAATCCTTGGCGATACTCAACGGTGAATCACGCGTATCCCTTTCCTCTTTTCTTTGAAACTTCTAATTATATTTTTATAAAAATCAGGCCAGTGAAACAAATACACTATATATATAAGTAATACAATTATATACGCAAATTCGATATCACGGTTTTTCACTATTTCGTCAATCTATTAAGTTGAGCCAGCATCATCGCGGAAGTGAAAACTCACGCAAGCGGGGAGCAATGAGTCATCCGCTGAGGTTTGGACTGTTCAAAGAGGCCCGGTTCGCGCGCGTTCTTTCTGATGTCAACCGGATGAGATGCCACCGGGTGAACCTTCAGTTAGCGATTCCTCATTCAGTTCTCTTTTTGTCGTTTTCGTTATACGTTAGTCGGTCCTGGTGCTGTCGTCGCTGTTGCTTGTCGCGAGGTGGGAGCTCGCAAAGCCGCAAAATGTGGATACCGTGCTTAACCGGCTCGGCAATATCTCCCGGTACGTATAGAGAAAGACTGAAGTCCACGAGGAACACGAAGCGAGAGCACCGCTCTGGCCGGCCCACACGGTTCCATCCCCACCGCGATTTGCGAGAAGCCGAGCGGTGTGACCGACCGACCGACCGCTTTCTTGCTTCAACCGCGGCATTGAACACGTTCAACGGCAGCTGTTGAATACCACGTGTCCCCGTTCTCCCTCTCACCCTCGCTGTCCCTCGTTCTTTCTCTCTCTCTCTCTCTCTCTCTCTCTCTCTCTTCCTCTTTCTTTGTTTCTCTTTCAGTCTACCGGTCAGTCTTTCCCGCTCTGCCTGTCGCTCTCTGTCCCTCTCATGATCTTTTCCATGGCTTCTTATTCTTTTTACCCTGCCACGACCGAGAACGCCACTCGACGGAGAGCCAGCGCCGTACGAAGCGCATGAGTTTGCGATTCGCGTTCTTTGACCTGCCGTCAGCGCGACGAGCCGCTCGATCGCAGACTTCGGTTCTGACTCAAAGCTCGCGTCATGTCTAGTGAAGTACTTAGGAGTAAATATCTCTATTTTTCACACCTAAATACGTTTCGGAGTACCCTGTATCTCTTCCTAGATATTTCTTGAAATAAGCATCTATACCTAGAATGCTCGTATACCTCCTTTGGAATGTCTGTACCTGCCATGGGTACCTGTATCTATTTAACATTTTAAGGCGCTCTTCAAGGTCAGTTAAAGGAACGAATTACAGAATCTCAAATTAGTCAGAGCTTTCACAAGATCGTTAGATCACAGAACGACAGTTAGGAATACAGCCAGTTGTGTGTGTGTGTGTGTATTGGATCTAATCCTTTGGTTCAATAAAGAAAATATAAAAAAGATTCATACACGCGGATATTCCTTTTTTTATTTTCCTTTAAAAAGACCGTTTCAAACTTTTATATCCCCTTCAATGTGGATCATATGTTGACAAATCACCTGACAGAGAGCGTAGAAATTGGTTGGAAACTGAAAATGTGGTGTCAACCGCTTCAGTGAACGCAGAAACCTTCGAAGTTCTTCATTTTCCGCCTATTCTCGCAATCTCCTCGACTGTGCTATCAGAGTAAGCATACTTGATCCGAGACCTTCAAGAATGACGTTCTTAATTCGGCGGAAGGTATTTAAAGTTTAATCCGAAGAGTGCGCCATTAGGGTTGACTAAATGTCAAGGCAATGGCAGAGTGCAAAGTTCCAAGTGCAAAGTCTACTATTCTCAACTCACTAAAGCTCCGCCAACTTACGGTTCTATCCTTTCTGATATCGTCGACGGACCTCGAAGCCTCGGGTGATGTTATCTTCCAGACAACAGAAAGAGGCTTTTAGATCCTGGGATTCGGTAGTTGTCAGTGTATCGACGTTCGAGACGATATTTCCCCGTGTATTCGCTGGTCTCAGTACCCAAGCACGTTCTTCCTGCTTTATACTCGGTTGTTATGACTTTCGATAAATGCGATACAGTGGTGAAATGGTAACGGTAAAGCTTTGTAATCGTATTGATAAGTTAAAGCGAAGATGAAATACATTGCTCGCAATGCATGAATTCACAGACAAATCGATCGTACCTATTGGAATATTACAAATATTATTAATTATTATATTACGAATATTATAATGATTATATTACGTTTATATTTACGATTATAAATTTATTTTACGATAATTAGAGCAATGAATAGAGTAGATTCATTAATTTGTGTAGAAAGAATTTTGGAGTTACGCTTTTTAGGCTTTCACGGGTATTATCTTCAAAGACATCCAAAGGTTTGTGAGTTCTCGCCGTGTCTTTATCCATTGTTAATGCCAACATTTCGTGAACCTTGCCGTTCACTTCATCAGGGCGAGGAACACACTGATACTGAGTTACGATTAAGAATCTGATTTTGTAATTTCAATTTAAATTTTGTCTATTAAGCGTGTGGCTTGACTCTAAATGCTGGCAAAGTTGTCGAGAGTAAAGAGAGCGATCCATCAGCTTTAAACGACGAGACTGTTTCCAATTTCCACTCGAGACGCACGCGGTTGTCCACTGGGAAGAGCCGACCTGTCACGTACAATATCTTGGACGAAAATCCCGGTTTAGTTTCGACGATTTATATTAACTCAAATGTTTAAGATACTTCGCGAAAACGTAAAATATTTTTAAAATATTTCAAACACTGTGTGTTCCTATTCGTTCTAAATGCGTCTGCATTAACGTATATTTTTCGTCATTTAGACGTTTTTTAATTGTTCTAATCGTTTATTATTGCTCCATTTTTAGGGATTAAAAATCTATCTTTTTATGGAAGCTTCAGTATGTGACCTACATAATTAACACGTCTCTCAGATATTCCAATCTTCCTCAGAGACATCCTATATGCCGCGAAAGAAGGAAATATTAAAGAGAAAGTCGCTTTTTACTAACCTGTTCTGCAGACTCGGTGATAAAAGAATGACAATACTGCAGGCTGAAGTGGGCCCCGGGCTCTCGCGCCAGAAAGCTGAATTGGGTGTGCTGCGGCTCACAAGTCGCGTAAAAGATGCGTCTTAACGCGTGCGCCATTTGCACGCACTGCAACAGAAATAAAAGAAACCAATCTTGAGAGACTACTCATAAGAACGTTTTGGTGTAGGGGCAATTATAATGATAATATGACTTAAAAGAAAGAATGCACTTGAAAATACTAAATTTCATATTTTTTAAAAGAAAATGTATTATTTCCTGCACATTTTAGAACTAAAGATAAGTAAGAACTTTTAATTCTTTCTTGTTAAATAACATGACGACCCTTACTCTTTTTTTATTATATCGTGATAACGATAATAATGAAAATACTATTTTGAAAATAATATCCGTTGTTAATAATTACTTAATAAATCTTAACAAAACATATTTAATTACTTAAACTTATTGATAACTACTTAATAAAACTATAATATTTTATTTATGATATTTAAATTCATCATTTTGTGCATTCAACGCAATGAAAAATAATTCAAATTGTCTCTGACTGACAATTTCCGAGATATTTTCGAGAGTGAGCCTTGTGTTGAATGCAAACAAAAATGATTTACGAGCGTTTTATCATTGCTCTCATCCTGTTGAGTGATTTAATCGTTTAAATCAATTCCGCTGTGAAATGTTGCGTACGTGTTAAGAACCGTGCAAGAAACTAGTGTCCTCATTAAACAGGATATCGTCATAAATATCACTTACTACATATGGCTTGTTAGCAACCGTAGAAAATATCGCGTGAGCCAAAATTGAGGGGTGTAGAATGAGATAATTAAATGGTAACGAATAGAAGTGTAACCGGTAGAAAAATAATTTAGCACAAGATTACGTCAATTAAGGTATTAGCTCTACTTTAACACAATTAAATAAAATATATACATGAATTTCTAGCTTTTTCTTTCTAATATTATATTTTTACGTGCTTTTACGTGCACCGAAGTAGCTTCATAATTGAGTAATATTGCCACGTTGGGTGATTCGATCAAGTAATGAGAATTAAGAGAAAGAAATAGTGTCCAATTATTGGCTACTTGAAAAACTTTGCGAGGTTTTTGGTTAAATTTATGTTCTGAAACTTTTAATGATTTATTAAGACTTCATTCGCGAGATGCTTATAAGTTTCAACATAAATTTGATCGTTGATTTGACTGAATCGACTTCGATCATAATTTCACAGATACTGTTTTTAGATTAAGTAGAAAACTTAAAAAATTCTTGTTTTTCAGAATTATAAAGAAAATTTTCATCAAAATATAAATCCTAATTTAAATAAGTACATCGTCATAAAATACGTATAGATTTTCTCCAATAATAAAATAGTAGTTCATGTGAAGTAGAGTGTATTTTCGCCTTAACTCGCGCCGAATTTAAACACTGTTCTCATTCTGGGACGTAAATTTTTAATGTTGTCTATAAATTTGGCAACCAATACAAATAAAATTCGTTCAATGAGCAAAATCTTCGTATCTTCGTCTCCAAAAGAGTTTTCCGTGAAATTTTGCCAAATTTTAGCCAAGAATTTTATATTCTCGCAATGACACTTCGTGAACTCTTGATATTTTATTACCTGATCCCGCAGAATTACATCGAGCATGTTTATAGTTTTCACTCGCACGTTCTATTAATATTTATATGTCCATTGTGTCGCGGCACCATACTCTTGTGCATACTACATAAATGAGGTATGATTGTACAGCTCGTAGTGATTGTAGTTGCTTCAGCACGTATAAAAGCTATTCTGTGTATAAAAGAGGCTACGCACTTCTGTACAGCGGCAATTTTTTTGTGATTGAGTTATTTTTGCAATTTAAATAAAAAATTTATTTGAAAAATGATATCGAATGTTTTCTCTCTTAGCTCACATTCTTATTGAAACTCACATTCTGTTGGTCTTTAAAATTTTAAACTCTTATTCTCAAAATAGTACTTTTGGCTTAAGCCATTATTGTACTTCTCAATCTTAAAGAGAAACACGATTTCATCTTCAAACTTCCAAGATAGGATACTTGCTTAAATTCGTTCTCACGCAAAGGTAAGCATGGTAGAACATGTGGACGAGTAGAATGGTGATTGAAAAGATGATCGTACTGTAGCAGCAAATTTTCTGCCAAGGATACTCCGCGATTCTATCAAGTTTCGTGCTGAATTTTTCATGGTGCCTGCATTTGCTCCAAGTAGCAAAGTTCTACGTGAGAAAGATATAAATGACCCGGCTCAGTAAAAAAGCTGCTTTTCTACTTATGCTTCTTGGATGGATATTATTTGAACAGGCCCTCTGGCCCTCTTGTACTGCTATTGTTAAATTGTGTTTAACAATAAGTAGAAAAACTCTTTTAATTATTGCGCGAATAACAATCGCGTTTATAATGAATACAACAACAAGAATTTCAATAATATTAACAATCATGTTCTCATTACAAAACACTTAATGGAAAATTATATTTAAAAAAAAAATGACTATAATGCAATAATCGTTGATGTAAACATTTCAAACGTTGAAATCGCGTATATATTTGACTAATCGGCTATTTATCTAAACAGTTTATTTTAGCTAGTACAAATGCAATCTAATTTGTTAGCAACTACACTGAAGCATACCACGCAAAGTTACCCGCTCGATTTGGGTTTCTACCTGGAAGTTAAAATTCAATTCGTTAAAAATTCGATTGAAGTACATTACGCGAAGTTTCTGACTGTGTCGGTCCACTCGAAACATAGTTGCGTAGCGCAAAGTTGTTACGGACCGAGAATCACCCTGTAACACGAGAAGTGAACCAACTATCTCGAAGTAACTATGCGCGTTACCAATCGCTTCTGGTACGACAAACGACATCCTAGAGGGGATTTCGTCGAGTTTGTCATATTCCACGGGAGGACACTGACGTCGTTATTCACCCGCTCTCGTCTTTACTCGCTTTTGCGCCTTTGCAATGGGATACGTCGCTGCAGCATTTGCGTCGGTTATTTGAACCCTTACCTATTGTCCCGCTCCGAGAATACCTGGAATCGGAGATTTCCAGCAAATCGCGAAATCCGATTGTGAACGTAAAAGTATCTCTTGCAACGAGGGAGTCATCCGTTGCAAGCCAAAGATTTATTTATGACAAACGAGTGCATTTCAAAAGAACTCTCCGCCTTTCATTTTCAGTAAAATAACCGTAAAAATAAAAAAAAATCAGTTGTTTGTTATCCTAGAGGAGAACCTCTCGTCGGACTTAACTCTTTATCGCGAGATTCTGTTTTTACGCGCAATTCTTTGAACGACGCAGATAAACGCGCGTTGAACTTCAAAAGTTCACTTATGCACGAACATACACGCTTATAAATAATAATAATGCTCGCCACAGACGGTACTAAATGTATCTTTTAGTCGTATTTGTAGCGCAGATGGGAAACCTCTAAATGTTTAAGTGTTCGATTTTGCGTTCGGCTCCAGTAAAAATTTTAAGGCAGGGTTGGGTTAAGCTCTCGGTTGCAGTAAAAAATTTTATGATCCCGTTTCCGGGTACTGCTCCGGTTTTCTTTCCTAAGATTGCACGTGAACGAGTAATCGCTGTCGAAGGAAGGATAAATTGATGATTTCTTTTCACGTAGTGCTCTCTTATCTTATTCACGTATTAAAAATTCTATTAAATAAAATATAAAAATTACATCTCTCTCTCTCTCTCTCTCTTTATCCTATCCTCTCACTTTGTTTTTCTTCTCTCGTTTTTAGAGTTAAAAGTAAAAATGGAAATTTTTCTTATATCCGAATGAGCGATGTGTTGTCCGTTTTATCGTGGAAGGATATTCCCTATGGATATTGGTCGTGCGGGAGGAGGGAGGGAGATATGCAAAAGAGATACGCGCTACAGCGTGAGTGCTGTTTCATGTATGCACGAGTAAATCCGCAGGTAAAGGATAAACATATCCTGTGATCGCGGCAAATATATGAGTTCAAAAATTACATGAGCCGTTCGTCGTTGATCTTCCATAGTGATACGCGCGTTTCCGCAACCAATTCGTTTATTCCCCAGTTTACTTTATCGAGCGCAGCGTGATTTGATTCCATGATAATAGAATTATTGGAAGAGTATAATATAAGCGAATTTTTAATTGATAGGTATGTAATTATACGGTGATCCACGTGCACACATAAAAATTGCCCGAAAATAAGTGTTTACCGGGACGCCCCGTGCTCCTAAAATAACCGTCGAAGTCAAACGCGTGTATGCTGAAAACTCGTGTAATCTAAGCAAAGCGATACCGTGGTAACCGGTTGGCTTGACGTACAAAGCGCAAGTTTGGAGCGTTCAAAGCCACTCGAATGTCGTGAAATCACGGGAGCGCACACTTTGGGGGTACATACAGGAGGGATCGTAGGAATTTTTTTAACGCTTGGCGAGGCAAAGGGTTTAATGGGGCTAAAGGAACGGAGGATTATTAGCAGCGGCCGTATCTCCTTCGCGGCACCGGTGAAACATTGGTGTGGATATTGTTCGACGTGGGTGGGTGATACGGGCGAGAGAAATGCGTATCATCATGGAGTGCTCTTCCATGTATGCACGAGTAAATCCACAGATGGAGGGTAAATACATCCCTCCCGATCGCGGCGGAATACACGGCACATTGCTCTTTCTATCTCTCTCTTCCCCTCCCCCCTCTTTTCTCTTGCATTCACAAAGATTGGCACCATTCGTCATCGTATACGTTTACTCAACAACCCCAACTCGACAATCACCAAATCTCTCGCGTGTGCATTTCATTGACATCTCACTCCCCCTGTAATTTAATGATCACCAGGATGTCGCGTCCCTTTCTCGTCACGATGTCGAGAATGATCGAGAATGTTTTTCGTAGATTGTCGATTTTTCTAACGAATTATATACATGACGGCGCGTCCATCAGAGAATGAACCACTTGCATGGTGCATGAACGATTTGGGATAATCGCGATTTTATGCAATAGGAACTCGAGCGTAAAGAGATACGCTTGACATGAATTACACGGCATTAGAACAAATACAACATTCAAATCAAACGTTCAAAACTTTTTATAGTCAAATTGTGTTAATTGAGCAAATATAATTTTTATCGAACAAGGCCAATCTCCATGGTTTATCTAAACGCGTTGATCGTACGTAGTTTAATTAGACTCTCCAAGTTTCCAGTTTCGCATCTTAATCATCTTATACAGTCACGTGCCTTCGGCGTGGTCGTGGAAAGTTTCCTCATATCTTCCAGTTCGTAACATGAAAATCGGCAATTATTCCTTTGCCGAATATGGTAGTTCGAACAAGTATTAATATCATTTTATTATTATTAAATATGTGTTACGCGAGAAACGTATAAACGTATCTGAAATAACTGGAAATTTTGGTGCATTTTTTTTCGCGTAATTACTCGACCTTTGTTATAATGTCAATTTAATAAATAATAATTTAATTATTATAAAAAAAATTTCACTTTTACATACATTTATTCCTTTTCTAATGTAAAGCATTTCACGTAAAATATATAAGTTTTAAACAATTTAGAGAGGCTTGGATACAAAGAATGACCGTAAATTCTGACGTAATCGACGTAAGCGAATCGAGATTTTCTCGAAGAGGAGATAGACGTTTCGTTTCTCATCCGCCATGATAAACGTTCCACGAGAGCTCTTTTAAGAGGCGCTTACCGAAGATCGCGGATAGAAAGTAAGGATTTTTTCAGGTAGAAAATTAAAGCGGAAGCTTAGGAGAAGCCCTCGAAATAAAACACTAATTCGAAGGATCGATATGTTCTGTACAGTCGTGAACACGGCGGGTACGGATCGCGCGAGGGTGGTCGGTGCATGAGCGAGCCAACTTCGAAATATTACTGGCAGGGATGCGATAAGGATTACGGGGCCCCAATTAAAGTCCGGAAAATAATAAAAGACGAACAGCAGCGAGATTACTCTCGTTCTGCCCCTTCTCACGATGTGACGTTTTATATCTGGTTGGATTTGGAGAAGAAATATCTAGATATTTTTCAATTTAATCTTCGTGTCAGAGCGCAATGAATTTTGATTTACAGTAATCGGTGAAATTTTCATTTACAATAAGTTTATTGTTAAAAATTAATTTTGCTTGCTTCCTTTACATCTGTATTACATGCCATAGTGAGGATTAAAATTAAAAGTGATTAAAATAAATAATTGAGATGTCTCGCGTGTAATCACAACTTTCTCGCTCTTAGTATTTGTCTCAATTTAATTGTTTTATTATCCTTTTCGATCGTTTATTATTCGTATAAATATTTCAAGAACGCAGCGAAAGTGATTCATTCGAAAGAGCACAGACTTCTCGTTATAGTATTGAAAGATTGGCATCCCAAGGTCGGCCTGAAAGGGAGATCTTACAAGTATCATAAGGATTATCGAACTCGGTGCTCAAGAACGCGGCAAATTAGGCTTCTCGCATCGCAGTTTAACTACCGTCCTACCATCCTGTGAAAGCTCAACCCTCTTTTAACGAGGACCTTTATGAAGATTCGTTTATATTTCTGAACCGTTAACACGCAACGCAAATGTACGCAAGCAATTCTCCTTTCAGAAATTCTTCTTCCCAATCAATAGTGAATTATAGCGCCTTTCTCGTAATGATCTTATTTTTTTTCCGCTTAAAAATCGTAACAAAGATATTTAGAACTAAGTACTGTTTAAATCCAATGGTTTATAATTAACAATGAAAATATAAAATGGTTATTTTTTTAATAATATCTTTTTTCTATTCCGGCATCCAAAGGTAATGCAGTGAGATGCAGTCACGAAAAAAAGAGAGGCGAACTTTTCGCGTGGAATTCCAAGGGATGAAGTTGCGTCTTGGAAGATGCCGCAGGGCAAGATGGTTTCTTTACAACAACATCCGTGCACAAACGCGAAGTATCTTTTTCCGCGGGAGTATCTGTATGTGCATCTCTAGTACTCACTTTTCCATCTGGACTGCATACTTTAATCCCCGCAAGCGAGACTATCAGGAGAACGGGCGTGAATCGATCGCTGTACTGAAACAAACAGATCAGAAGTCGTGCATGTAGCAGCAGAATAAAATTTCCACAAACACAATAATATCCATATGCGTTTGTTTCATTAAAATACAAATCCGACGCTGATAAAGTTTAAATCCAGGGTACATACGTAGGATGCACTCAGCTTTTGAATTTAGGATTCATATACGGAATGTATCCAACGTACGCACGTATATAGAATCTTATGTAATAAAAGCATCCTTAGAATAAGATAAAGATGAGATTTCTTGACGTATTTTAGCTATAGCCGTTGTTTTAATAGCTCAAAAAGTAGCTTACATGTATCAACATTTTGTTTTAATAAATTATATAAAATTTTCGTCGTATGCAACATCGTCTTATTCACTATCTGAGTGAAAAGCAGTGAAGCAAAAATGCGATGATATGTTTATATACAATTTCGTTCACGTATTTAGGGGCTACCATCCACTTCATCCGAGTTCTCTCTATTGGAAAGATCGAGCCTCCTGCAACTTTGAAGCGGTCGTCCAATTTCGAAATTGAAAAGTTGGCAAGCTACGCGGTATAATTCAGAGAGCGGACTCCACGCAAGAATGTTTCTCGTCGGAGACGCGGTTCATTGTCTTGAAAAGGCAAGGTTGATGTGGCTGGAACCACAAAAGGGGATCTCCGGTATAATTACGGTAACGCACGGAGCGTTTGTTCGATAAAGGGCGCTAGCGCAATCTTTACCTTTCCCTCTACGAACCAATCCATAGATATCTCTGTATGGTCTCGAAATTTTTATAATTGTACACGGTGTATCGTAAAAGTCACATTTAGAAAAAATCTTAAAATCATATCAAATTTCCGAGTAATTATAAATTAACAATACAAAGAAGATGTATTATGTCTTCAACTTCGACGTTGACATTTTCAACGTCTGCGGCAATCTTGTTTGCGAATGCTCGTAACAAGGCATTTCAATACGATAACTTTAAGGAAGCAAACGACGGCGAGAGGGCGTAATTTGATATAATGTACTTCGTGCAGCTTCAAGCAGTCTAAGAGCCCTCGCTTCTCGAGAGATGACAATATAATTATGCTTCCTTATTATAAGAATGTCCTACAATAAGGAAAGTCTTCCCGATGTTTGATTTTTTACGTCTTTCTGTTTATAACTGGAATCCCTCCTTTCAGATATTTGAGATGAATAACAGATATTCTGAATTTAATATGCTACTCTTGACGCTTTCTCTTTTTAATGTATTTACTTAAAAACAACATATTATATTAAATATAATATTTATATTCTTTTATTATACTAAACAATTAAAGAATTTAATATATAAATAGGCAATATTTATAATTAGTATAATAATTTCTCGAAATTGCAAAACTGCTAAAACTAAAAAATCTTTAATTTCATATTTTTATTAAATTTTACATATTAAAGAAAAAGATAATATTCCATCCAAAATAATTTATCGAAAATTAAAGTTTGACAAGTAGAATATTCGCATATCAAACAGTAATAGCATGGCATTCTACGAGCATATAAAAAGCGGTCGATTCGTTCGAAACAGCTGCTCGAGCGACTTGCTTATACGTTCGTCTTCTCATTCGATACCCATCAGGAGACTACAGATGTAGCATTCATGGTATGGAGGTTTTTCTCTTTATTTCATTTTTTTTTCTTTTTTCTCGCCATCGCTGCTGCTGTCATCATCAAGGAATAACCGAAGCGACATCATGACGAGACGAATACGAAACGTCACAGCTCTCTTCGTCGTCACAGAGGTATATCCTCTTATTTCTTTCGGATGACAAGATGCATTGTAATAAGATGTCGGAGAACGTGAAAAGTGCGCGCACAGATATATCATAAAATATATTCACTATTACGCTGGCCATATTTATTTATAAATTAAACGTAAAAGATTCTTATATTTTCATTTGAAAAATATGCTAACTTAAAAAGAACTGTTCCAAATTGTGAGTAGCATATTCAACCCTAATATCTTTTTCTTCTTCCGAATGGTGTCTCGATTTCCAGGAACGTTAATGATGAGGAATGCCAATTCTTTAAATGAAAATCTTCTTTTCTTTCAAAGCAATTCAAGGTATCTTTCCAAGGCTATTTATAGCAGAGATGTTTTAACATTTACGTAATTGCCATATCGCGATGTTTCCTTTCGTGCCTCGTGTCTGCGTGGATGCGGACTATATGTATTTGCCGGAGTTGACATTGGTGTCATTACCGTCCTCGCTGAAACGATACCCGACGAAAGTTCGAGCAAGGTGCACCGCGCAAACTTATGGTTTGCTTAAGGAAACTGCCAGACGCGGTTACGAATACGCAGAAAAGGCGTGGTGGAAGACTCGTCGACCGACCTCCGGTCTGCTAAGGTCTCGAATTCCAACCCTCGTCGCCATACATCCACCGACATGGCGATGCACCGAATGGTTTCGATCGACACACGCATGCGAAATTTATTCATTAACTGAAGAACGACGCGCGAGAAGTTGTGCACTGCTCAAAGCTTTTCAGACTGTCTTACATTAGGCTATTCTTAAGTCGACTTAAGTAATTGTCTTTCAGATAACGACGAATCCAACGATGTCTTAGACGTCATTATGTCGCTTGGATTTAACTCCGCTCTTTATTCGTCAGCAGATAACCGTGGATAATAATGATTAAGTGTGTGAGACAACAGACGTTTTCTAACTATGTCTCCCAACAGTCTTTATTATTAGAATTGCCGTTAGAATTGCTTTCATTCCTCGCCGTGTCGCTTCCCTTTCTCTCTGATTCTCATCCGTTACGCGTTTATCCTGAAAGCAATCGAATTACACCCGACGTAAGGATGTTATTTAATTATCAACGTCGCTCCCGGACGTGGAAAGCAATTTGCAGGCCGCTGCTCGATTATCTTTATCACGGCTTGCTATCGGCGTGCTAATTACGCTTTAGCGACGCAGACACATGATGATGATGGCAAAAACGAAAACAAGATATTATGGCGACACTCTGGTCCCACGATATTAACACGAAAAAAAAACTGAATTGCTCTTGACAAGGTGAGATTAAAAAAAGAAAGAAAGAAAGAGGGAAAAGTGGAATAAATAGTTGCCGCAGTTGCGGCAAGATAATGTAAGTATACATGTCGTCATAAATATCTATAGAAATAACCCGGAATTTCATAATCGTTGGGTGGAATGTCTTGAAGCGTAGTTGAAATAAAATTTTCTTCTCGCGATGGAAGATATCTAAGTGGCTAACAAGATTGTAAACAGAAAATCCACCTAAACAAAGTAGATAGAAGCAAGGAATAACGAGGAAGACGTCAGGAGAGCGCGCCGCCTCGGCACATTTCCCGAGCGCATTATTAAGGGAATCGGTCCCTGTCTGAGTATTTACGCGACAGAAGCTCTCCCACCTCACCCTTCAGCCGTCGCACGTTTATCTCTCCGTCTCGTCCCGCGCGTTTCTGATTGTCCAGAAAGGGTACGTTCCCATCCCATCCCATCCCGCTGACGCAATCTTCGATCTCTCTGTGACGTATCCCGAAGGCAATGCCGATGCGATATGTCTCGGGCATAGCGACGTTCTCCGGAAATGACAGCGCTTTTATTTTCTTCATCCGTTCATCATTAAAAAAAGGATGCAATACGTAATTAGATTTTGGAAATTTAATCACGCAAATGCGAATCTAATCACGCGTGTTTAGAGATTCTCGTATTTTTGTTATTTTGTATCATCATCATATACCATATATGATTTATATATATTTTATAAATACATATAGGGAAAAGTGGGAGAATTGCGAATACGGAGTAAAAACGCGAACGATACTATTGCAGTATATTAGAATAATGGCAACTTCGTTTCTTGCATCCGATATAGACGATTTATCAATTATAAACGTTTTTATTTAAAGAATATTGATTTTAAATTACAATAATTAATATTTTATATCATTAATATAAGCTGTAATTTTAAACATACGAGTAAAATGAAATCGATTCAACGCTGCTCCGCGTGGTGGTAGTAATTTTAAGTAAAATGCTTCGTTTTTTGCTTAAAATTATAGATTATATTGATAGTACAGGAATGTTGATTATTGTAATTTAAAACTAAATAATTAGAATATCTTTTAAATAAGAACTTCTATTAATTGATAAATATTCATTGACTTTATTTAATCTTACCCTTAGATATTTGCAATTTCCCATTCTTCTCTCCATTTAATAATTTAATTTATTAGTATTTCTCGACAGAAATTGCTCTGACGTTATTGATCGTCAAGAACTAATCGATCGCCGTTCGTCGAAGGCAACCAAGTCGAAAGATTCCGATATGACTTCAAAGTAATCATAGCAGGCGTGATAGGCCGGGAGTGGTTCTACAAAAGGTGCGTGAGGGCTTTTTTTAGCGGATCATCCAGTTTCAATCGGTCGTCAATGTAATCTGTTTGGGCTCTGGGGCGTGCTACTACTACTTTATTTCTGAGAAACAAAATGTGCATCCGCAGGATGGATCTTACGCAGATTCGCCCGTTCATGCTATCGACAAAGACACTCGCCTCATCCGCAAAACATCAATCATCCGCCCTGTCATTGAAAATTGAATTCTATACTTTCGGTAATTCGCCAAATTGGTCTTGCCTCCTCCGATAAAATTTCACGCGCTTGGAAATATTACTTGGCGTCAATTCTCGTAAAATTTCGATCGTAATATTGACTGATAATATATTATAATGCACCTGTAAGTGTATATTTCGGTACACACGGCGATATCCCTCATATATATAAGTGCTCTCGTCGAGGAAAGAGATCTAAATATCTTCTTTGCCACAACCCGTATAATCTGAGATCGATATTGATAGGCGCGAAGAAGCCTAAGCGGCACACACGCCGCAATTTTTTTCGCTCCGACGCGACGTGACGTGATGGCTGTTCCGCGAGAAATCGAAAGGAAGAGTGGCCTCTTGGGACGGAGGCTCTTCATCGAATGGCAGAGCAATTGACATAAT